TAAGTAGTATGTATGCATACAGTCACTATTATTTTATACAATATAGTCAACTGTTATTTTATACACTATAGTCAACTGAATGCTTTTAAAGAGAAATTATGACAAAAAAAGCCTGGTTTCCTTGAAAGATTATTGAGGTCAATTGGAAAGAACTTATTCACTTATGTATGCCTTAAATTAATTGTAGTTAACCCTTCAAGAAGATTTTTAACAAAGATATACATCTAAAATTAAGTAACAGTCTAGAACAAACAGCAAGCAGGTGTAGTAATGAGGAGGTTGCACAGATTATTTGCTGAGCTGAAAAGGAATGATGAGAAGGAAGCATTACATGGACAAGTTTTACATAGAAAACTTTAAACCCATAAATCTTTACTAGAAAACCAAGAGGTGAAAATCAACACCTGTCAACAGTATTTTGAAAGGATTTGTACAATGAACAATATATTTTTCATGGAAAAAAACTTCATTTTCTCAGATGAAAATATTATGAATACATTAGAAATTAATTCAAACTGATGAACTAGCAAAATCTATGACAAGGTATTATAAAGAAATTAAAAAGATGGATAGGAGAGAGCATACCAAAGATAGCCAGGACCAGATAATTGATGAAAAATAGTCCATCAAGCAAAAAGGCAAAGACATATGAAGCTGAGGAAAGGTTATTGAGTTAACACTTCTTCAAAATAGTGATGTGATTATTTTTTGTTTATTGGTTGGTTTTAACCATCAATAACATGATTTTGAATTCCTTACATACTTCGTACCGATCAGCCTGAAGAAGACACAGTGTATAGGGAGAAATGTTAAAGTGGAACAGTAAGATGGTGAACTAAGCATTGTGTAAGCTATGTCACTCTTGTGTCTGTCATCTTTTTTAAGCATGGAAGACTCAAGTTCATGGAGGAAAAGAGTGACTAGCTGAATAACGAATATGCAAAAGTGATTAATTGTTGCTTACAAAACAATACAAAATTATCAATTGCACTTATCTATTACATACTGTTTTTAGGAATTTTCATCCTGGTGTTTTAGCAGCACAATATTTGTAGAAAGAAAATTAAAAGTCTTATGGGGGAATTCTGTAGAAAAAAAGCTCTTGGTCTACATGCAGGGTTATTCACAATAGTTATTTTTGTTTTATTCAGGAACAGACATAATCTGTCAGAGAGCAATTCTGAGTCACAACAATTATATGAAAATATGTCATATATGCAGCATCAAGAATCTTACTATAGAGAATGGTTTGGTGTTAACTTCTCAGAAAATAAAGACATATTAAAAATGCATACAAAAACATAAAACATCCACAGATTATGGGATTTATGTTAATTGATTTTAAAAGAGGGAAAACACAGGAAAAATGCATCATATATTTATGTTCATTATAAAATGATTTTGGATTTCCAATCATGTTAAGTGAAATAACTTGCAACATTGCAACATTGATTAATCTTCATTTGTTTATTTTGCTTGGTTTACTTTGATTTTATTTGTAATGTATGTTCTTCACATGATGACCCTGTATCATTCCAGGAACATGAATTTTACTGCTAACATTTCTCTATACATTCATATCCCTGACTTTAAAAAAAAAAAAATTGTATTTGAAGGGTTTATTTTTCTATTGATGTCAGTCACTGAATCATGGAACAAAATGGAAAGAAGTTATCTAGAAGTACTTACCTTTAAGCATGGAAAATAATAAGGTAGCAAAACTTTTTGATTATTCTGTTATAATTTAATGGGATCCAGCCTATTTTAATTCTCGAGTAACTCATATTAAACAAATGTTTTGTTCAAGCAACACAAATGGTTTCAATACAGTAGGTTATTCAGCTTTATGAGGATTGGAAAGAACTTGCAGCATCTTCATCACAGCTGGAAGTATGAAGGGAAAACTTTCTTTTGTGTTAGAACTGCTAGTGAGGAGAGTATGCAACCATGTCTTATCACTATATACCAACTGCAGGTACTTTAGAGACACTGTGGTAGATGATTTTCCCACTGCATGGTTTTTTTCAGTCTCCTGATAATTCTTTCATTTGTAAAGCAGATTCCTCTCCTGTGTTCTCTTCCAGACATCAAACAAAGCTTACATGTACAAGGTTTCAAGATGACAAAACTGTGGTTCAATTTTTCTACAGCTGACAGTAAAATATATTACTGTCACTTTTCCCTCTGTCCACATTCCAACATGCTCCTCCATCCTCCTACTGAACAGAACTGATCTAAATCATCCCTTTGAGATGTTTCTGCATTAATTTATTAATCATATCCAAGACTCAGATGGGTCAAAATAATTTCCTTTGGAAAAAATACTCTAAGGCAAAGGAAGAATACCGATTAAGAAATTAAAACAAGACAACATTGGAAAAAATGTGGAATAATATCCTATGCTACTGATAAGCCCAACTGAGGGGTCAAAGAACTAGTAAGAGCTCTGGAAAATGTGCTAGTCTCTTATTTTTGAAGATTTTCTAAACCATAAAAATCTTGAAAAAAAAATGGAAGAAAAATTACCTAATCTAAGCATCCTTTATTCATTTTGCACTGTTTAGGATGTTCTAGATGAAAAAACCATTCTTTCTGGGATTTGCAGGAGTTGATTTAACTTCAAGGTATGACTGAGAGGATTTCATTGCCTATCTTCCACCATTGCAATGCTGACTTTTATTAGCAGCCTCATGGGAATACTTTTTAACAACACTTTTTCTCTCTTTCAACTGCCTTTCTGCCTCACTTCTCCTGCATTTTTATTGTCCCCATCTATCCAAGTTAGGCTATCAGCAACTACAAAAGTTTTTCTAGGAAAAAACCCCATGTATTTCCAGTACATGGATTCAACATCTGTTTGTTCGTTGCCATTGTCTGCAAATAGATTAATTTTACCAGGATCACTGAATTGCAGAATTTTCTTGGTAAAATTAAACAATTGCAGATAGAATAGGAGTTTAAGACAGCTGAAAGGGGAGCAATATTGTGGGGGGTGTTTCTTCCTGCTTTATTGCATTCTTTCTGTCATCTACTGCTGCTGTCATCTACTGCAGCATTTCCAAAAGAAAGGCAAAAAAAAAAATAAAAAAAATCACCCAACACAGGCAGATAAAATTCAAAAGGACCACAGCATCTTAACATTTTTCTTCATAAATTGTGTAAGGACAGAATCTTCTCAGAAATACAGCTCTTATTACAGAAACACCAAATACAAAGGGTATGTACAGGAAAAGGTTAAAAAACTCTCATGGGCAAGATCCTAGCTACACAGGACATCAAACGGACCAAGCTCCATTTAAATAAGAATGGCTGAAATGGCACAATGCAATCCAACAGCTGCCATGAATCTTACCCAATCACTTATGAATAAAAAATAATTTCCAAAATTCTCCAAAGAAAGAAATTTTACAGACTGACATACCACTGACAAGCTTGAATTTTCTGGATACTAGAATGCCAGTACCTTTTCTATGACTTGAAATATTCTACGTAATGTTAAATTGCACCTCATTCATGCTGCTCTTGACATCATTCTGAAAAGAAAGGCACTCACAACAGAATTTATGCTTTGAAGAAAGAAAGAAAATAGTGCAGCCAAAAGACTTTTCACTGCTGGAGACTGATCACAGTACTCTGAACTCCACTGACATAGTAGTTTACAGTAAATTTGGATGTATTTAACTATGTGAGAGAAAATTAAGACATAGGAAAACACATATGGAGACTTGAGCACTGTAATCAGGATTTTATTTGAATTACTTTCCTGGTGGTTTCAGATAGGTTAAACCACAGCTGCAGAAAATTTAATGTCTTTTGTGTGAAATGAGTCTAGATGACTGATTCAAATGACAAAAGATCATTCCACAAGTAAGAATCGTTCCTTAATTTTAAGGATGTAAAGGAAAAGCAAGTTTTGAGATTTAACAATAAATAATCAGAAATTTAATCAGATAAGGAGCCAGCTACTCTGCATGCTTGTCATACTTAATTTTAATTATATGTTATCTGTTTTTCATATGGATAATATATACGAGGATCAATTTTTTCCTGAAGAACTGCATTCCTTCTCAGAAGTTCAGGATTAGGGACTGTTACAAAATCTTTTTGTTCCTTCATCAGTCTAAAGAGACAAATAGAAGGGTTCTAATTAAGTACCTTGTTAGAACACAGAAACCTGTTTAGAATCCCAGAGATTTGGAAATTTAGATGAGCTGATTAACCACCTGAGATAGGACTCCTGCTCCTTGCAAGTGATGCTAATACAATGCTGTGATCCAGTGTTCTCAGTGTTTCCAGTGTCTTTAGAAGGTACACAGGGCACTGCAAACCTGAGCACACCAAATCAAATCTGTCTTTGTGTTAAACTGAGTAAATATATTTTTAATTGGAAAAGGCCTATAGTCTCAATGCATACACTCCCATAACGTTCGTCCAGATCACTTGAGAGTATGGATCTAGATTTACTAGCCAGCAGAAAATGATAATCTGCTGTTTAATTTTGAGAAATCAAGACTATTACAAACTTCTTTTCGCTTTTATACTGTCTTCAAACTCTTCCAATGTCAACAAGGACAATCCCAATTCACAATTAACAATATAAGAGTAAAATATCTCTTATTTGAATATAGAAGCATTATGTAACACGTATCATATTTATCTTATGTGAGAAGAAAATTAGTTTTCTGGAACAAAATGTTCAAGTTGGACTAAATACAGTCCTGAGAGTTTTTCAGTGGTAAAGTGTCCTAATTTCCAGTTTTTAATAATCAAGGTGAACTTACAAATGATAACTTTCAATTTTCAATCTGTCATAACATGCTCATTGACTGGTATTACACAGTCATTGGCAGAAGAATATTGATGTGATGATGAAGTTTTCAGAAGTCTTCAGCCTATTAAAGATGCTTAGTCATGGAGGACATGAGTATTATTAAACATACAAGTAATTCAAAATCTTGTTATACTTATTTTACAGATTAAATTATTTAAGTTGTACTTACCCCTGTTCTTTGAACTTCCAAGAAAATTGCTCTTTGGAATGATTTCTCCCACACTGCCAATTCACTGCCCAGCTCTACGTTGAAATAGTGGCTCTTGCCATGTCCAACCATAACACTGAAACAATACGGCCTCTGGTCTTCAAGATCAAAGTCCTGGTGAATACCTAAATACAAGTTTGCTTGTAGCCAGCAATCATCAGCAAGCCAGAGCTGAAAGATATATTTCAGTATGTGATTCCTCATCTGGCAAAACCAAACAATTGAACCAACACTGTCCTCAGTAAGTGATGGGTACTTGGATATACTATGCCATTATGTCAACAACTGTGTTGAAGAAATGTTCTAGGAGTTAAATAATTATGTCAAAGACAGCTTTTCTCTTTCATTCTTATTTGCTTTGTCCCCTATCTTTTAATCCAAGCTACTACTGCAGTTCCAAAACACTGTCAAAATTACCTAAGCAATACATATATATATATATATATATATAATATATAAAGGTCAATATAATTTGAAGTGAGTTTGAAAAAAATATATTGTTAACAGTGGAAAAAGAAGGAAATCCCTGAACGTTTCAAGGCATTCCAGGAGCTGTGTACCAGCTCTACAGGAGACTATATTTACTCCATTCTACTTGGGTTTCAATATGCTAAACCCCAAGGAATGTAGTAATTTATCAAGCTCCCCAGGACTAATTCTGGAAATGACAACATGAGCATTTCCTTTTATAGCTGTCAATGCTTGTAACTACAAGGAGACTGACACAAGATCCTGCCATCACCTTCAAGATAAAGAGAAACTGTACATTAAACTTGCATAATAAAATATATACCTGCAATAGAATGTTTGTAAGTTTAAACAAATTAATATAAGAAACTTCCCTAATATTTCAAGACTTCATTGATTAACACAGAGGAAAAGAAAACTAAATTAAAAAGCTGCAACTTACACATCTAAGTACTTTCACAGCTTGAATTTACAAATCACACATATTTTTATTTTTCTGTTTATCAGGTAGAACCCTTCCCTATCCCCATTTCTCTGTGATATCATGGGGCAGAAAAGACTGAAACCCCAAAATAATTAGCAATGATTCATGGGGCATCTCGGGAGCAGCACATATTGCCACCATGGTTCAAAGCACTGTGTTGTCAAAATTGGCCCTGCAATTACCTGAGGAGAGAACAGACTTGATGAAGCTCAGTTATTTTACAACACTCCTTTGCACTGTTGAAAAGGAAGTTGAACAAAATTCCTGCATATATTCTGGTGTTCAACAGCTATGGAGTGACAGGTATTAAATCTGTTTCAAGACTCAGTGCTGCATATCCTGGCTTGCAGACTACTATATTAACAATTTTTTTTTTAATTTTGCATGTGAAAGTACCAGACAATAAAAGAAAATAAATGTTTTTATGACAAATTACTTAAAAATGTACAGGACTACAGTAAGAGTTTGAATTATGAGGCAAGCTGTAAGAATAAACAAATGTGATGCGAGACATTACATTTCAAATCATCTGGCTCTTACCACCAAATGAACAGAAATATGCAAGGATATATTATATATATGAGTTTTAATTCACATATTTGTGTATTTATACGTATGTATACATACACCCAAATCTAAAATATATTAAAAATTCTGTTTTAAAATTTAAGTTCCACATTGGATTGCTATTTTCCATGTTTAACTCTTGCATCATAATAAACATAGATGAGAAGCTTACAATTAGGTGTGTAACCAGAGCACTTCTCCTTAAAATCCATCTTTCATGAGAAGATACAATAACATTCTCCCAGGGTTTTGCACTAATGCTAAACAGCTTCTGAAAATCCTTAAGAACCCCCTCCCAAAATGGCAGCCTTTACAACATAACTCTATAATATCTAATGCAGAAAAATTAATCTCTTACAATTTTTTGGATTTGTTCTGTTCGCTTCATTGTCATTTATACCAAAGAATCAACAGAAAAGAGGTTAAGGAGTTCAATTTGAGCTTTTGTATTTTAGCTTACGTATTCATGAAGACTGGCAATTAAGCATTCACTTATTAAAATGTCAAGAACACTAAAGAGTTGAATCTTGGGTAGTTTATTTCCCAACTTCTTTTTTTTTAATGAAAATGTACTGCAGAAGTTGCAGAAGGACAGAACATCCTTGAAATTACCATAATATTCCAGGAAGAACCAAGTTTTTGCAGTAATACTTATAGGAGAAAAAACAAAACCAAAACCCAAGACTTATTTATGAGCCAAAAGTAAAATTATAAAAAAATCATGAAGGAGACTAAATAAATGATCTGTGACAGAACATCTACTTTTTTTCGGTATGCTAGTGATGGGCAGGACCTGAATTTGCCCATATGTTCCCAGCTGGAGACATGGTCACACAAAAATAATGTCATGACTACAAGAATATGGTTCTCCTCCTGTGCCTCTGGAGATGAGCTCTAGTCCTGAACTCCAGGGCTACTGTTTTCCTGGCATGGCAGTGCCAAAACACTTCCTTCACATGTCCTGAATAACATGGATCAGAGAAAACCCTAACAAATAAAAAACCCCTACAACAGAAAAAAACCTAAACACCCCAAACCAAACCACCCCCGCCAATACCAAATCAAAAACCTTAAGCACTTTTGCTTCAGTGCAGGATCTGTTACAGGTAACAACCTGCCTTTTCCATGACATCAGTGTAGTCAAAGGGGAAACAGCAGAGAAGGGCAGCAGCTGGTGAGAACTAAAGATAAGCTTTAATTTTTCACTGAAATAGTATTTTATCTGAAAAGATGGGGTTTTTTTCTGAAAATATTCTTTAATCTCTGTTGCTGAAGGCCCCCAGCCAGGTAATAATTAGCATTGACTCCATGATTGCAGAAGGCTGATCAATCCCTTTATTCAATTAAACTGTACTATACTATATTTATTAAGAAACTCATCACCCTTACAGGCAGCCCAATACAGCATTGATCTAATTGGTCAATCAATCAAAACACCATCACCAGTGTCCAATTAAGAAATCACCCTTTGGTAAACAAATCTCCATAACACTTTCCACAGGTGCACAACAACAGATGCAGCAAGTGTAGATAAGAATTGTTTCTCAATCTTTTCTCACAGCCTTCCCCAGGAAAATGCCTGGGAAAGTCATGCCTGCTGCTCTTGATGGAGAGAGCTGTGGCTACAACTCTCCTTAACAAATAGCCTCTCATAGTAGCCTTATCTCACCTGCAAAGGTTTTGTTTTTGTTGGAGAATAAAGTTAATCTATTTGATAAAATTTATTAGACAATTTATTCTATAAGTCAGTAATTTACACAAAGTGCTAATATTTTGCCCCAGATCTTTGACTGGGACAAGCTAGACAGAAAACATGACTTTGCCTAGCTGGGGGAAGAAAATCAATTCTATGGGACACAAACCCAACACATTATAACAAACAGAGCCTTTTATAAGGAAAAACACACTACAATACTTGATAAAACAATCAATAAATATGATACAACAAGGACATAATTTTATATTTTTAATTACTAAAATAAAAATATCTGCATGGATCAAGAATTACAGCAAGAACATTTTTCATCACGTTAGCTTGAAAATCTGACCCACTAAGAAAAAACTAATATCATGCTTAGCAGTATGTCTCACTGATACTTCATACAGCTCTAATACTAAAAACTTTCTTCAATAAGAAAGCATTGTAACACAATGTTAGTAACTTGCTCACTTGGAGCTTAACCTATTTTCCATATTTTCTTATATTTGCATAGCTAATGCACTAGCAATTGCAAAAAGCTTTTTATAACAACAGATGTACTATTTGAATACTAGTTATTCCTAGTTAAGATTAATTTGAGCTTATCATCAACAGGAAAAGGGAAATTTTCTTTACTAAATAAAATCACTGGAACCGTTGGGAAACCTACCTTGTGAATTTTAAATAGAACCTCACAGAGGTTATAGATTTTTTCAGCTCGTACCCAGTCTAGTGTGCTTACCTATAATACAAAAAAAAAAAAATTATCAGCATATTTTTTATTTGAAAATAATTTTCAGATGAAAAAAACCTGAAAAGGTTTCACCCATCATTATTCTACTGGATCCTTTAAATACAGGCACATCACTATATTTAATATCCAGTATTTAGAAAAGACTGTCGAATAGTATTAAATTTTTACAGAAACAGGAATTAAAAGGTGCCAAATAATTTCATTTTTTCTTTTCCTAGTATGACGGAAATGTCTTTGTAATCTCTGTCATTAGTTACATAAGCATTTTTATTTCTTAAGATGCTAACACAGAGAACTCAGTCTCAAACACAGAGTCATCCACCTTCATGTCTCAATCTGAAAAAAAACTTACAATCAATAGATCAAGATGTAGTCCTAAATTCAGTTTTGAGTTTACATGCACTAGGGAGGAAATAACCCAATATTAAGTCTAAAACTGGAAAAGGACTATGTGACTGCAATATTTAGAATCAAGAAAAATATCAGCTGTGCGCTCAATAATATGAAAACACCTATATTTTGTTTTCTTTTGATTTCAATACCTAATCTGTTGACATGACAGGCTGTTAAAATCTGAAGAGGAAGAGTGATGTTTGAAGTTTTTACCAAAATTCTACATAATGATATGATGCGATAATCTGTTTTCTTTTGAAAACAGTACCCAGCCTACATATTTCAAGGAAAAAAAAAAAAAAAACAAAACCAAAACCAAAAAAAAACCCCAAAAAAAACCCCAAAAACCCTCACTAGGAGGAAAAATTCAATATATGGAAATAAGTATTTTGGTACCACTTGGATAATGTAAAATTCTAGGGCTTATACAGCTTTGGCCTATTTCCACACACCACCCAAAAGGAAGAAAGCAGAAAAAATAAATTAAAACTATTACCATAAACAAAAACTTGTTTGTAAAACATCTGGTTATGCGGATGAAACTTAACTAGAAAAAAATATGAAATTCACTCACAGATTTTTTTTCTCTGTGTTCACAGTAGCACATAATTCACCTTTTAAAAATTTAGTATTTCTTTTCATTATTTGCATGGAGATATCAACATGTTTTGGTTCTTTTAAAATTTATTTTAAAGTTTAATATTCAAGTCTCTTCAAATTCTAAGCTGTTAAACAGAATTGTAATAACTTGGTGAGAATCCAAACCACTGCAACACTTACAGGCCTCTAAGGGGACTTCTGTTAGTTATGAAATGTTACTTCAGACTCCTTTGGAGGAGTAATGTTAACTTGGTGTCAGTTTATTTCTAGTCTTAACAATCTGAATTAATTCTTAATAATCTAACCTTCTTCCAATTTCTTTTAGGTTTAGATTAGGGTTTTTTTAGATGAATAAATTTAGATATTATAAATCACCTACTGAAATGGGACTGAAGAACTATATCTTTTCAGGATATAGAGGGACTCACATTCTACGATTCTCCATTTCATTTTTTATATCTTAACAATCAAATGGCAAACATGACTTGAATACAACACATAACAGATTATGCACTTTGTTTTACTATGAGAAATGTCTCAAAAATTAAAGCTCAAAACATTACATACAGGTAATTTTAAAATTACATGATAAAAGCACATAGTACTACCTAAACTTTTTCAAATTTAAACCTAATGTCAGCTGGTTCAGAAAAGGAATTTAAAAAAATTTTAGGTACTAACTTATCCTCCCATCACTTTATAAAAAGGTAGCAATTTTTAAAGACATACCTTTCTATTTTTAGGTTTCCATTTCTGTTTATCTTCTTGTAAGTCCATTCTATATTTTATATGAATTTTTCAATTTAATTATTGTACAAATAAGAAATAACCTACGTTTTTAAACAACTGAAACAGAGGTCTTACAAAGCTAATTGTAATTCATAAAGAAATGTACATTTAAACAGGCTCACAATAGAGTAAGCACTGCAGGTCTTTGCTTAATCTTATGTCCAGGGAAATATTTTGTACTTTGATGGCTTTTTTGAAAAGAAAATAATTAAATAATACATTTTTTTCCCCATTACTCTTGATCCTCCAAAGGGATATTCATGCTTCTTGCAAAACAAGGTTTAGAGTAGAATGGAGGCTAGTCCATTATTTGGTCTTGAATATCTCAAAGGGAAAGGATCTTTTCCATCTCAGTTAGCAGCAGGAGAACCCTTTATTTCTGTAAGTGGCTAGACAAGGAAGCAAAAGCACTGATTCATTTGCCGTTTATGCAACTGGCTTTGGTGACATGGGCTATGACCTGAAAGCTGTTGAGATATGAATGGACTTTCATTTGCTCATATCATTTGTTTTGATTCCTGAAGATTAATTTTAACTGTTGGGGATCTTTGCACTATTAATGATGGATGAAGGTGACACTGCTGTGCCATTAAATTCTCTCTGAGTACTTCAGACTTCTTCCCATTGTTCCACGCATCTCTTTCATCTTTTGATGCTGTGTAACCTCATATGACTTTTTCAGCAGAGGCAGACAGTGATAGTGACAACTGCTGGCACCAATATAAGCCAAGGATTTCTTTACCTGTGTATGTCAGAGAAAGGCTACCACACTTAGAGAGTGAAACAGTCTGAATACCACTGTGTGCAAGGTGCTCAGAACACAAATGACATATTGAGAGGAATATTAAGGAGGCAAAATAAATAATATTACAATATTACAAAGGAATACTAGAATCTAAACAGACAGCTGACATTATTTATAGTTTTATCAGATCTATCATTGTATATCTAAGTTTAAAATGTTACTGTTATAGACTGCTTTACTTTTAAAACACCACAAATAACCATATACACCTAGTCAAGAGGAAAAGCTGGAAATAATCATGAAAGTTCATGAAAATTGCAATATCCTTCATTTGATTTAAAGAATGTTCCAGTTTATTGCAGGTTATCCATCATCACACATGTAATAACTAGGTAATAAGTACCTAAGATAAATGAGACACCCAAGTATATTTCTTAGACAATAAAGTAGTTTTTCTCATTATTTCCCCTTAGAATTGTTCCTGCAGGTATTCTATACATTGCAATTTCTTGGCATGACAGTTATTATTTTTTATGAAGAATTTGACAAAACATTTCAAACAGCTCTATTCAGAATAAATGACTCAATGAGACGTGCTTACATTCATATAAATTTAGTTCAGACAGTTTCAGAAAGAGTGTCAAAATACATGAGAGTTTCAATTAGCATTCAGTAAGCCTCTACTTTAATTTGTGTTTGTCTACTATATGAATTTATTCCCAAGAGGAGCTGAATGTTGTTATTTATATTATTGGCAGACCACCTCCTTAACTAACCCACTGCAGTATGTGTTGAATACTTGGTTCTGTAGACATTTAGCTATGCTAATCCTTTCAGGAACATTGCAAAATTAAGACATTTGTAAACTCACAGGTAACACTGAGCTGATCAGAAAGATAATAAAACCAAACAGGGTTACGAAAAATAGTAATCTGAAATTACAATTCTAAGTCTCCAATGAGAGACTAAAATAGGTATACAGAGTTACAAAAGTCCCAGGTGTTGCAGAAGTACTTTTTACTTTAGCATGATTTCTGCAATTTCCTCATGGTTTAAAAACAGGCATTACAGTGGAGTTCTGAAAATAAACAAAAAATAAACAAAAAGCTGATAAAATCTAGCTTTACATAGATCAGGTGATCTCATTATCAGTTCAAACTCATATTCCAAATATACTTGCCTTTAAATATGTGAGTTAATCATTGGCTTTTCTTTAAAAAGTTATGCTTTAAAATAGAGAGAAAACAATGAAGTTAAACTAATTTTGACACACTCATGCAGTAAACAATTAGCTCACAAAGTTACTCCCCAAAAGAGAACTCTGCAATTATAAAATAGGTGTTGGGGTTCTGGATGCTGAGAATTTTAGACTTTCTGTGCTGACAGACTGACTCCCAGGAGAGCAGTGCATTTGACCTGAGGCAGTGGAGAAGGCTTCCAAAATTGATTGATAACGCTGGGATTATGGGTGTGTAGTTTGATTAGAAGTGTGCAATATCACAGGGTGGAAAACTTAGAGCTTAAGGTTTTAGAATATAGTAATATTTATGGAGAAAGATGGAGGTTTTAGAGCAGAGGCTTGTCCTTCTTCTTTACCATCTTCCTCCTTCTGCATGGGTTTGGGTGGTATTTTATAATTGGACAGAAAAGTCTGCATTGTGGACTTTGAGTGATTGTTTATTGGGTTAAAAGTGAAGATAATTTAGGTGTCATTTCTTTAATTGGATAGGTTAGCCTTAAAAGACCTTGCAACAAAAGATAGTTAGCCATTTCGCACCTAGTTAGTGAAATACTGCAGAACTCCGTCTGTGAGGCTGTAAAACAGATAAGAAAAAATAAACACCTAAGTCTGAACACAAAATACTGTCTTGAGTGCCTTCAATCCCAGCCTCAACAGAGGTAGAGAAAAGAAGCCAAGAACCAGCAATAGGCATAAAAGAGTTTCATGCCTGCTCAGAGATCACCACTAAATAAAGAAATATGAGGTGAATGTAAAAGAGAACCATACTTCAAAAATCACTGAAATCAAATTAACACAACATACTCTTGGACTTTCTCTGAACACAGAATCTGATTCTAGAAGTCTGCAGAGCCTCCCAAAATATTAAAAATATTTGAGTAAATGTAAAGGAAAAAATTAAAGTGCCGATAGTATTTATTACTAGAATACAGCAAATGCTGCATTATCTGAGAATTAAACAGAAGTATCCAACACACCTAGAAGTACTAAAAAGGTCTAATGAGAAGATTAAATACTTCTAGGTAAAGAGTATTTAATTTCACTGGTCTCTTCACTCCTTAATGGAAAAAAAAAAAAAAACAACATATTTTTATTTTTAAATTTTTTTTTAAAATATTATTTTTAGCATTTAGAACTTACATGGCAGCTTTAAAAACACTGCTTGTCTTAATTACATTGTGCGAGCTTCTCTATACTATCAAATGTGGAACTATTTCTGTTACTTTCACAATATTCTTTTATTTAATCTTTTCTTAAAATTATAAACAGCCCATGCAGTGATTGTCTAGCTGTCTTCATGTTAAATCACTTCAGTGCTATTTATTTAATCACATTGAAAAAGATAGTTTTGCAATTAAGGGTTACACAACAGATCTAAGGTTATGACTACTTGAATACTTTAATGTAAAAATCATAATGAACTATAAGGGAAAAATAAAAAAAAATCAAACAGTAGAAATCCCTCCATCTAGCCCATATTACATAAAAACATTAAATTATTTTCTGGAACTTTTCAAAGGTATAAAAATTAGTTTGATTTTCAATGATAATTTAGAATATTTTTTTCCTCAGTTTCTTCTGGGATATGAATTTAGAACTTTTCCAATATCTGAAAATTAACAGAAATTTTATAGATGTTTTTAGAATGTAATAAAATACTGCTTGTGTATTAAAACTGACACAAGAATAATTTCTATTGGTTCAGTGGTGTTTTTCAGATATTCAGTTTTTAGAAATGGGTCACACTTCTAATATACCAGTGTGTAAAGGAAATCTGTAAATTTCTTAAATACATTCAGATAAGCCCCTTCAGGGATGCAAAAAGACCCTTCTCTGTTAATCACACGTTTTTTGATATTTACTTCTGTGGTGAAGCCTCTATATTTCTGGAATCACCATCTGAGACTGCATGAATTGTAGAAATATTGTATAAATAGAATATTACTTGTCATAGTGATTTATTTCATAGTATAATATTCACTTTTTTCCACAATTTTCTTTATTTTTGCTCATATATAACTATGTTTTCCATTCTTATGAAAATTAGCAGCTGTATGTACAGTCATGTTATCTTTTACACACAATGAAATAGAAAAAGAGTGGAAATTGTACTAGATCCTTTTACAAACAGTTGTAAAATTATGGAAAAAGATAAGTGTAGAATTTATAGGTCATCTGTTCTGTGCACCCTATACTGACACACTGATTTACAACATTGATTCAGGATACAAATAGCAAAAGCAACACCTCTGAAATAAAACATGTTAAACTTGTATCTTCTAAAGCAAGTTGAAACATTTGTATTTTTGTGATTGAACCATCTTTTTTTTTTTTTTTCCGTCCCTGCTTAAAATAGTAAAAAACCCCAAATCTCAGTAGAAGCAATGGTAAGAGCAGTAGCATCAAATATCTCTAAAAGCAGTGAAAGAGCTCTATGCACAGTTTTGTGGGGGGACCTGTGTTTCCAGCTACAGAGCTGGGACATGTGGCACAGAACCGGTGCCACGGGAACTGTCCGGGGTCTGTCAGGGCAGGATCCCTGCCAAACAGGTCCCCAGTCATGGCCCCACAGTGGACTGACCTTGTCACACAGCCAAACATCCACACAGCCCCTCACTAACTCCTCATCCCCCTGCTATGGGATGGGAGAGACAATAAGAGCAAAATTGAGAAAATGCATGGTGGTGGAATGGGGAAGAAATCAATTAATGTGAAGGCAATTGCACACTGCTCCCCCCACGCAGACCAATGCCCAGCCATTCTCCAAGCAATGGCTACTTTTGAAGACCAAATCCTCATTTTTTATTGCTGAGCATGATGTTTCATGGTACGTGAAATCCCTTTTGCTCTATTTAAATCAGCTGTCCTGGCTGTGTCCCCCGCAGCCTGTCCCAGCCCCAGGCAGTTCGTTCTGGGTGAGCGGTGAGGATGGAAAGGCTGCACCAGCCCTGCCCAGCATCAGCCCAAACTCGGCTGTGTCAGCTCTGCTTTAGCCCCAGGTGAGAAACCATGGCCGCTCTGAAGTGGTGCCCTCCATCCCAGCAAGGCCCAGCCAGGAGCAGGGAAGCCGTGGGGACCGGGGCAGCCCCAGCTCGGGGCAGCAGCCATCCCCTGGGAGCAGGGACAGGCTGAGGCTGGGCCTGGACGTGGGCCCCGGGTGGCCCTGCCTTGTGGGACCAGGCTGGGCAGGGCAGGGCTGTGGAGCCCGAGACTGGCCCTGCTCACTCAGGGCTGCACTGGGATCGTGGAGTGAGCCACAGGAAAGGGCATCAACAAAAGCCAGGGCTGGAGGAAAATTATAATCAAAGTGTGGCTTTAGATCCAGGTTTGAAGTCTCCAGATAGGAGGTTGCTGGAAACTATTAATTTGGTCTTTTCTTTCTGGGGGTTTTTCCCTTGATGAGAGACATCTGGGGAATGTTAAAAGAGCAAGAAAACCAATCAACAAGTTTTATGATTTATACGCTCTTTCACATTTACTGGTGCATCATAGTGTTGAGGTGGCACAACACATTGATCAAAGGGTTCCCCTTTGTTCATTTTTTGAAAGCCAAGGCTCCTACTAAAAAATTGTAAAAAGATAATAGATTCTGTCAGATAATTTCTACTACTAGTCATCCCCACTTGTCTGTTCTTAGTAGAGTGCTGAAAATGGTAAATGAAGAAGTTTATCCCAAATTAGTATCATATAGATGTACAATTTAATTATATCAAAAATGTGTCTTAGATCTGAAGACAATAATTAAAATTTAAAGAGGAAAATAATTTATGTGGTGTGTTATTTATTTGTTTAATATTTCTGGATGGTTTTCAAATTTTAATTAAATCTTAGAAATTTAATCAAATTTTAGTTCCTTGGCTTAACATATGAAACACCAATTTTTAGTGGGGGAATCCCCCTGCTTTTGCCAGGTATGTTGTCTCACTTTAAAAAGAATGCTATTAGCCATTTTAGAATGATTGAAATTAATTGGAATCATTGGATTAATAATTTCCATTTAGAGAGGGGCAAATTTTACTTATTGCATTTCATTGAATTCACAAATAACTTCTGAAAAGTATGTATTTCTCAACAGTACTGCAGACAGTACACATATAAAGAATCAGATTTTCTTTGGACCAGCAGACAAACTTGGGAGACTGAGCAAAACTGTAAGCACGTTGTAGAATTTAAATTTCATGCTAAGTCCACTTTTTATTCTTTTATGATTTGTTTAAGGCAAAGGTTTTCTGGAGAAAAAAGAAAGGATTAAATATTACCATGTGGTAAGTATGGGTAATTTTAAAAACAGTTTAGAATTCTACAGCTCATTTCCATTTCACCCTTCTAAATTAATTTTTAAAAAAATATTAGATAAGGTACCTATTGTGAAACAGAATTCTTGTTACAAGGTATATAAATTATCAAAGCAAGACTTGTCCAAACTGTACACTTAGCACTTTGATCCCTTGCTTGTGTGAAAAGTCCACAACTATCATCCAATAGTATGGATGGTTTATTTAATGATGCATCTTGTCTTTCAGAAAGCAGAGTAACTACCAATTCATTACATCTACAAAATAACTTAAAATAAATAAGGGAAGAAATATTAGGCCTAACCAACCAAAATAAAACCTGACTTTGAGAACTTCAAAAACAAAACATACAACAAGGTTTTCAGAGGACCTTGAAAGAGGCTGAATATCTACAGTTTATTGAAATTCAGTGGCATCTGTGACTAACTTACATTGAAATCTCAGCTGAAAACTCCACTTGATAAAGGAAAACAAACCCAGATGTAACAAACAGGTTTCCATTTACAATGAAGCTGACACAAAAATATCATTTTTTTTTTACCGGTGGAGTGCTGAAAATGTAGAAGGATGAACCCTTCAGGGCCAGAAACTTGAATTTGTAGAGCTGAGATGAATCAGTTCCTTCAAGTCTCTCATTTACCCATCCCATATGTATGACCTGTAAAAGAAAATTGAAAATTGAAAATAAAAGTTCTCTTTCTCAGTGGATCATGAGTGGTTTTAGTAGCATGGGATGCATCATCTACTTCACATTTGCCTTGCAACCATTTCCATATTCTTGAAGCATACAATATAATGCCAGTGTGTCAGAAGTCCTTGAAGAGACAGACTTGTAGTACTGGCTCTCTGAAACTTATCTGAAATAATCCCAGTTTTAAAAGCCACCTATGCAGGTCAAAGCAGATTCTCATTTGAGAAAGCAGAAAATCTACATATACCAGAGTAGTTCCACAGTTTATAAAAACCATAATACCTTATCTATAGCAGTGTCAGAACTTGGACATACTGATATTTCCATTACACATACTTCTAAAGAAATACCTCTAAACAAATCACTAGATTTATCTGAAATCATACAGCTTTCACCAGGCTCATGTTTGCAACTGTTAAAGTATTTGTCACACTTGCTGTCTTTCAGAGTTTATACATTTTGATATATGCTTTATCACATTTATGTTTTCAAAGAATTAGATATCAAATCCAGCAGTTACCCAATATTAGCAGAGTTGCAATGCATGCCTTTATTTTCCAGATAAATTAATGCTAAGAAGAAATGAAATGAAGAAGTAAAATTGCATGCTTCCTTCCTGAGGTAAATACAAATTTATAAACGAATGCCATAAATAAGAATGCCATAGTGTGATAGCAGACTATCATGAACATCCTTACTGAAAAACAACAAAGCAAAAACATTCCAGGCTCCATTTTGCATACATTAAGAGGAATATATTGCTCTTGAAACAGGTACTTAAATCTAGAGTGAATCACCAATCTGAGTGTACAAGTATTGCTGAGAAGCTTGCTCATTTTCAACTAAGGCTTACAGACAATAATGAGTTATAGGGGGAAGAAATGTCAAAGCCCTCACTAACAGTATGGATGAATTTTCATAACTATGTTATGAAGACCTCACAAATTGTTTTCTAATGTTGGCATTTAATGTATCAATTATGTCTTTTGTCAATCAATTTATCAATAAATTAATATGTTGAACCAGACAATCCTTCTCCATACTGTTCTTCTGAGCTCCAGCACTAACATTTTAAGGAGATCTAAGAAACAGCAAAATAAATACAGTAGACCTTCCAGTTTTTGATTTGCTGTTCTGTAAATTGAGTAACTCTGACCAAAACATTGTTTCTATAGTAGTCAGCAAAAGTGTTGAAGCAGGATGTTCAGACATCACATTACTTAAAAAAAATACTATATTATTGTTGTTACTCTACTACAATGATATTATATATTAAGTTTATCAGTTATTAATATCAAATAACACAGACAAAAAGAATTATATCCAATAATTTAGGGTTTTTTACTTTCTTTCCACATATCTTTCTTATTGACTAGTTTATTTAATAGATTTTTAGATTTCAGAAATGGAGAAAGAATTATTGCTCAGTTCAACAAAATCTGTATGGAACAAAAGCAAACAAGTGTTGGTACTTAATTACAAGCTGTCTGTGGTTTACTGGGTTACTGAGATTTTAATGTGATCTTAGTAAGTGGGTGGGAATGTTAGTCTGGGATAAAAAATATTCTGTTTTTTTGATTGAAACCTGCCATTTGAAGTTTTCAGGAGTGCTCACAAGGCATTATACTACAAACTGTCCCTTCTTAGCACTGCTTTCACTACTGTTTGAAAATTACCCATGCAACATTGATATATTATTAAGTTTCTAACATGCTTTAATACACTTTCCAAAAGTTCCTGTAAGAAGAAAATGAGCAATGGCACTCATTACAAGGAGATAAAACAAGTCACTAACAAAATGTAATCCAATCATAGCAGATAAATGAAGGTTCTTATTTGCACTTATTGTTTTCCTGCAGCAATAAAGCATCTAGATGCTGCAATGACTGGAAGTTTAATGTGTTAAATTTAATAAAGCAGTCAGTACATTTTGTATATAGTACTTTTAGTTAAACATTTATGAAAAGTAAATGATGTAAAACACTCAGGAAGGAACTGAAGAAAGAAAATCAAGTAGATTTCTATGTATGACATGTATGAACAGACAGAAACACTTATATAACTAAAGTGGGATAAGAATCTACAGGAGATGACAGACTGATCTGCAAGTAAAGAACCAGTGTCATACCATAAGGCACAATGGAACTATAACAAATTAAAAAAGCAAAGAGAAGTACATCTTGAGGCATCTTAAACAATTTTTGGGGATCTTTTCCCAAACAAGTGGTAGATGGTATATTTTGAAGAGAACAGCTTATAGGGGCAGAACTGGGAGGGGGGACAAGCAGTCCTTACACATACATAAAAGTTAACTAGAAGTAAAATAAAAATAAAAAATAAGATCGTAATGCTGTAAGTTTTGATCTATTACATTACTGTTTTCCATTGTACATCAGTTGCATTCAGTTATGTCTGAATGGCTACTATTCAAAATGAAATGTTCTAGAGAGCAAAGCATAGAGGCACTTAGAAATTATGACACAAGTGTTCTTTGTGCTTTAGTTCAAGAATGAAATTTATAACTCCAAGCTGGGCACAGTTTGAACACCACAAATAGCAATGAGTCCACACTATGCTGAAGGGAGTATGAAGAGAGGTATGTATCTGAATTCATGCATCTTCCCAGGCATTGTTTGCTGGGACAAAATTCAGATCACAAGTCCTTTTGGGTAGCAATAATAGTGTCTACTCGGCTTGTTTTAACAGAAAGCTGGTAAATTGGACCTGATGTCTCTCACCTTTACTCATCACAGCCTTCTTGTTCAAGTTAGGATCCAAAGCACAAAACTCTTGAAGTCAGCTACCACCAGTAAGTTGCCTCACTGCTTATGCATTCTTATGCAATAGCAGATCAGCAGCACTATCTATGCAGCAGGAACTAACCAAACTAAAGAAAAATGGAAAATTCACATCTTTCTCAACACTTTTTTTCTTATATGTCTGCTTTGTATTTTAGCAATATTACAATATTACAAGTGGAAAAATAAAGAATAAACCATTTCAAACTATAGTTGTTTATCTCACAGAGCACATTTACCTCACAGCACTTTGTATTAGCTGACTAGAGGTTAAAAAGTTCAGTGTTTTTAAGTGGTTCTTCTTCTGTTAGACTAAGTTTTTTCAATTGAGGATCTGAGGTAACAGAAAAAGACCCTGAAGGGTCAAGGCAATTTCGCTAGGAAATGAAAAGCTGTCCTCCCACATAAATAAAGCCAAAAAACAAAGAAGACTTCAATTCTATCTCTATGTGGTCTCTTGATGCTTAAAAGAATTTAGTCCTGCTCCCTTTCTGCAGGTGTAAATTGTAAAATTACAGTCTTCAAGAACCTAAGTTTTCCAGACTAACCATTAGGATAAAGTAATTTTATTGCTATATGTTATAATTCTAAAAACATTTTTCTCTGTTTTGAGAAAAAAAAAAAAAAAACAAAAACAAAAAAAACCAAAACAAAACAAAACAAAAAAAACCCCTCAAAAAGCAGAATGAGAAAGGAAGTAAAATATGGTCTTTCAAGAGTAGGTGCAGGATTTCTTGTATGCTTCAGGATGAAGCCAGGCAAACATTCATGGCACACCTGCAGCAGCAGTTCTGCTACAAGGAACAATGAGAAAACCCTTCATATTTGAAAAGTTTCTTATTTAGAATTATGATGTTATAATTTTCAAACACAGAGTAGAAAAGAGTTTCTGAAAAACTTAGTACCCTGCCCTCTCCAAAATGCAGTAGCCATGATACATATTTTGTTTCTAAAAAATGCATCCTTAATGTTCTCAGGACCTCTGCTACAGTGGAGGCTTCCTATTTTCTCTCAAAAAATATTTCTTTCATAGTTCTTTATTTCTTTCAGCCTGTCCACAGAGTCCACAGAAAACCTCTGAAGGTCACTACCTTCAGAAACAGTGCACAAAATCAGAGGCAGTATTCCTGCCAAGGCCTTACAGCAACAGGAATGCTTAGCATGTTCTGCAGTAGCTGGCTTAGGTACAGCCCGCAATGCCTGCATTTCTCAAAAGCCACCAAGCAGACATGGCTGTTCTGGCATGCACGTGAGCAGCCAGCCTGGCCTGATGCTAAACTGACAAGGTAACAGTGTGAGAAACTGCTGGGCATTGCCTGCAATGTGAAGAGAGGAGTTGGCTGGAAGCTGAGGCCACCAAGGGGGTAAACATCAATAAGGGGGTAAACGAGAAGGTGAAATACACTGAAAGAAAGTGAGTAATGGGTGAAGAATGCCAAAAGATAAAGGAAAAGGGGACTGATTTATAGACAGCTGTGGTGGTATCAAAGATTAAGGCTGAAATAACCAAATGAGCATGTAAAATTCAGAAAAAATAAGGGCCAATGGAGAAGCAGTAAAGTGTAGGTGAATTCCTTATTTGCAAGGGGAAAAAGGGGGAAAAAAGGAATATTAGGTAAACCAATGGAATGCAAGTGTTTGGGGTCTCTGTTGGTCAATCTCGTATCCGATTACAACATGCTGATGTAATAGTAAACACAATAATAAACCATAATAGTAAGTCTTAAAAATGAACCTGTTGTTTTTCATGTTATCTATGTCTGACTGGCTTCTGCATATAGGGTCATCTCTGAGTTCTAGTAAAACAATAGCGGATGAAACAAACCTTTCTAAAAGAATTTATCCCCCCAGACAACCATCAAGCATTTTGCAGTAAAAACCTCTTCAGTTTTTTCCAGTTTTTACATATACTTAATTATTCTTGCATATATGTCATGTCCTAATTGGCCTCAATCCTGGTTTTCAGACTCACTCTTCAATATGGCAAGATCATTCATATGTTTAACATGGTGTTTTAAAGCTTAATGTCTGCAAAATTAGTAGGTTTACTTTTGCTAATGCACCATTAAAGGCAATATTCAAGGGAACTGGATCCAGGTCACCTCTTCAGCACTTCTAGTTAATGTGTCACTTTTGAAAGTCAACCATCTATACCTGATATTGGATTACCCAACAAAATCTGTACAACCAAATCCATATAATACCTGTTTAAAATATTTTAATGTCAGAAGTTGTCAAAAACCTTGCTGGAATAAAGATACGTTGCAGCAACCTCCTGTCACACATCCACAGGATATGTTACATGTTCACAGGAGAAAATTAGATTGGTTGTCATGATTTGTTATTGAAAAAACCTTCAGGGCAGTCATTTGTCATATTTCTGCTCCACACAGGTATTTTGTTTATTTATTTCAAATTTCTTTACAGGGATTGAAGTCAAATTGAGCAGTATCTAATTGTCCAATGTCTCCTTCTTTATTCCATTAGCAACCATAACGTTTGCCCATTCCTAATGTTTAGATACGTCACTTGGCAGACACAAATCCCCTGAAATAATAATGATAAAAGTTTAAGTTTTAAAAACATAAAAAAAACTATCCAGCAAACAAACCATAAAACACTGCAAGTATTTTTTTATCTGTACAGAGAGAGAATTGGCTAATTTATTTCATAAAAAATAAAATCAATCCAGCAGTATGTATTTTTTGAAAATTGAATCCCAAATCTAACAAAGAATCAAGTGCTTTCAAATCTCTAGAGTATTATAATAAATGACATCAAGCAAAATCAAAAGTTATGATGTTTAGATGCTGTGTGTTTCATCATGACACAGGTTACATAGACACTTAGAACCAGAGCTTCAGCAGTGCTATTTAATACTTTTCAAATTTGTGTAATCCCTAGATATTTCTTTAAATCTTGTAGTCCTTGGCTTGGGGCAACTATCATGACATGTCCTGGTAGTAACTAGAACTCACCAAACAATCTCCACAGATAGTCTGGGATTTTAGCTTTGGTGGAAATAATTTCCAATAGGCAGTTTAAATACAAACACCCTACTTTCATGGGGAAAAGGAATTTAAAAGTGTGGAAGTAGCCAGACCAATTAACTTCATTACCTGGTACTATCAATATAAATAGATATTTTTACAATGTTTAACAATATTGATATGTTTAACAATATAAAAATATCAATAATAAATACAACTTCTACTACCTTTCCTAATACATCTAACTTTTGTTCATAGACACAGGGCAAAGTCATAGAATCAGAGAATCACAGAATATTCTTAGCTGGAAGGAATCCACAAGGATCATCAAAGTCTAAATTATGGCCCTGCACAGGCTAAGAATCACACCATGTTTGTTTGACATCTTTTGGCAAAGAGACACATAAATACGGCTGGTTTAGATCCAAGAACCAATATCTTAGTCCTTTCCCTTTTACTTTATTTAAATGTGTACAGAATTCATTATATTCTGGAGATTCATTTTGCAATAAAACTAGTCAGAGGCGATATAAAAGACAAAAAAGAAAGCCAGGTTTAACAAAGTAATTTTTTTACATTCTTGATAACCCTGAATCCTAGTTTCTAATGGCCTGTGAAAAACAGAATCTGAATTAAACCTATCCACATCCAACCTTCTCCCTTTATGAAAGATTAAGTTTGACTCTAAAAGCAATGAAGAAAACTCACTGGAGGCAACACAGTAATGAAACTCTAAGGACCTGTTTAATTCTTCAGCAATGTGCATGCTCAAAGGAAAGATAAATTTGCAGCTATCACCAATTTTACTTCAAGGCAGTTTTTCAAGCATCCTTCAATCTCTTAACGTTATCCTTTCTCTAAATTTTAAATCAATTGCCTTAATAAGAACTATTCAGGTCTATACAAATATTATGCAACTGACACTAATAAGTGCCACTAATCTAGGCCAGAAAAAGTCCTCTTCTGCTTTCAGTTATCATTGCCAAGTTTTATATGATGCCTTTGTGATATATATACCCGAGAATTCACATTTTGATTGCTTCTAAAGCAAAATTTCACAGGACATATAAAGTTTTAGTTGTTCGCAATTGCTCCTTTAATATTTTTATGTTTTCTAGTTTTGTTTACTTGATCTCACCAAATTCATTATAAACTTCTTTTTTTTCTCACTTTTTGGCAGAGAACAATCCATTGTTTGTTGCTGTCAGTTGTACCTTGAATTTTCAGCTTCTGAAATTAAGGTCCTAATCATCCTTCTTTTCGTACTTGGAATGGAAAAAGTAAGATAGATTTGTACGGCCTAACTTTAGGCACCTACTTTAGATGGTAGGCTGAGACAAGTCAAGACTAGCAAAAATGACTCCTCTAAAGGATGATTTAAAGCACTGTCACCAAGTTTCAAACTTGAACAGCTCTCTGGAACGGAATACATTTCTGCACTGATTATTTAGGCAGTTTATGGAGACTAGCCTATTAATTTAGGAAATCAAATTATGTATCTAGTGATATGTATACCGTTGTATGACTGTCCCCAAAGTTTTTTGAAAATTGAGGGAGAGTATGTCTTTTTTTTCAACTGAATTTATTATGTGTGCCCAAACTGATAAGGAAAAAAACTTTGAATAGTTACTAAAGCACTTGCAGTAGACAATCCAATAAAAGATATCCAAATCCAATACCTTTTCCCCTAGCATTCATAATCACCTGTTTTTCATATTGGTTTAATTAATAATTAAAAGCCATGACAAAGAGAGCAATTAAATCACAGAATTATAGAATTATAATTATAGAATTATAGTTTGGGTTGGAAGGGAGCTCTAAATGTAATGGAGGTCAACCCCACTGCAAAAAGCTGGCACATCTTCAAATAGATCAGATTGCTCAGAGCTCCACTAACTTGATCTTGAATGTTTCCATGGATGGGGCATGCACCACCTCTCTGGGCAACCTTTGCCAGTGCTTTACTGCCCTTAATGTAAAAAAAACTTCTTTTTTATGGCTAAATTAAACCAACGCTCTTTCAGTTTAAAATTTGTATCTCTCGTCCTATCACAATATGTTCTGCTAAAAGTTTGTCCCAGTCATTCTTATAGGCACCCTTTAGACACGGAAAGGCTGCAACAAGGTCACCCTGGAGCCTTCCCTTCTCCAGGCTGAACAGCCCCAGCTCCCCCAGTCTCTCCTCATAGGATTGGTATTCCATCCCTCTTTGTGGCCCTCCTCTGGAGATGTCCTTTTTATTTTCGGGGCCCCAGGGCTGGATGCAGAGGTAGAGGGGTCTCACAAGAGCAGAGTAGAGGGACAGAATCACCTGTCCTGACCTGCTGGCCACTCTACTTTTGATGCAGCCCAGTACACAGTTGGTTTTCTGCTCTCCAAGTCCTCCCTGCCCTTCAAGTGTCTTATAACAACTCGTAGGAGGATCTGTTCCTTGATCTTCCCAGGAACATGGATGAGGCTGACAGGTCGGTAGTTCCTGGGTTCCTCCTTCCTATCCATTTTAAAAGCGAGTGCAATGTTTCCTCTCTACTTCTTACCAGGGGCTTCACCTGACTTCTGTGACTTTGCAAACATCATGGAGAGTGGTTTGGCAACTGCATCAGCCAGTTCTCTTAGGACTCTGGGATGCATCTCATTGGATCCCATAGACTTGTTCAGGTTCCTGAAGTGGTCACAAATCTGATCTTTACTTACAGTGGGATGGACTTTGTTCTCCCGTCACTGATCTTGCAGTCTGTCCACTAGACTAGATCAGTTTTAAAACTGACTAGATGTGTATATGCAAGCTCTACAAATTTCCAATCATTTTAATCATCCAAATTAAAAAAAATGGATAACATAATGGAAATCTTACCTGGTCAGAGGGAGAACAGCATTTATTTGCCATTTTCATCTATGAAAGAGAGAGGGAAGAACACACAGAATTATTAATATGCTGAAGAGTTTCTGTAAAGCAATTATCATTGATTGACTTATTTATTGAATACTACATTAATACTTCCAAATTATATTTGTGAGAAATGTTATCATTCAGTGCTTAAATACTAGATATTTATTATTATAGCAAATTTGCAAAACCAAGACTTGAGAGACAAAAGCCTTCAATCAGTTTTCCTTAAATACCTCATAAAGAATTGCATTTATGAATTTAACTTTGCCAGTCTGAGTGAAAATACTATATTGTACTTTAGACATCTCAGGTCTCAGTTAAAAAATTGCTTAAGCAGATTCTTAAATGACATCTGTAATTAAGTCCTTATGAAATGATGACCATAGAGTATAAGATGTATTTAAAGGTGAAATGAAAATTGCATGGGCTTTTCTCTTAGTTTACTCTTCAAGACAAAGTTTTTCCTATTTGTTTAGATAATGAAGAGTTTTGATCATTTTGACTTTTTTCTGGCAGTCATAGCTTGCACATATGAGTGGTGGTCAAATACTGACATATATCATACACAAATACTTTGAAGTGTAACATTTTTTAAAGTGTAATTTTATTAAGTGTAGATAAGAATTTAGAAAGAAATATATTAGAGTGGAAAACCAGTTTTCCCTACATGCTAGGAGTAAGCTGAAAACTGTCTTAGAATTGATGAGACTTCCAAAGGACCTTGCTGTCAAAAAGCTTGTTTTATTAGAAATTACAGGCTTGTGATGGAAGACCAAAATCCTACACCTGAGAACAGGGAAAACTACAATTGCCATAGGAAACGAACAGAAGAAATCCGGGATTATTGCTTGTATCCTGGGCACATCAGATTGGTAAAATAAAATCTGTGGATGTAACACAGTTAATATGGTGCTGCCATTGACTGCTGGGGTGGGTTGACTCTGGCCAGTAGCTGAGCACCTGCATAGCTGCTCACACCCTTCTCCCTAGCAAGAAAACTTCTGAGTCAAGATGAACAGAGTTTAAGTGAAAGAAACAGGAAAAATTCAAGTGACATGAATGCAATCACTCTCGGCCTCCCACAAGCGGGCTTCAAGCAACAGCCATGCTGGAAGACAAACCCACACCTCCTTTCTCCACAATGTCATTTCAGTTGCTGAGCAAAGTGATGTGGAATATCTCTTTGCCCACTTTCAGTCAACCAACCCATCCGTGTTCCTTCCTAGTTCCTTGTTCCATCCTCTGCTGAGGTGGGTGGGGTGTGTCAGAGTGAGAAAAAGTCAAAGCCTTCATCCTGTGCAAGCACTGTTCAGCACCAATCAAAATACTCATGTGTTATTAACACTGTTCTAGCCACAAATACAAAACACAGCACCTGCTGCTATGAAGAAAGATACCACCATCCCAGTCAGACCCAGTACACCTGTATGGGCCAACAGACTTTGTGTTATGGTAATGACATAGGCCTCAGGATGAGTCAGAATTTATGCACACACACTCTTGCACCTAACAGATGACAATAACAAGTCATTGTCCTCCACAGAGTGAAGTATCTACAATCATAAACAAAATGACCTTAAGAAAAAAGGCAATGTGAAGGGGTAGGATGACAGCAGGAGTCTTGACTGTATGGACAGAGGGTGATAGCAATGCTGAGGGCTGTAGGAGCTCTCTAGTCAGTCCTAACCCACCATGGGCCATCAGGGTTTCTTGTCCCTCATGTGCTCACTTGCAGTCCTCTGGAATTGAATTGTGCAGTTAAATGGTGCAGGTGTGCTGGTGGGTCAGACAGCTGGGGTGACTGAGAGTCTGAGGTAGAGATAGCCAAGCTGCTGGGAGCCTGGGGCACCTTCCAGGCCTGGCTGTGTGTTAGGAGATCCTGCCAGGCTCTTGGAGTGGCCCTACCAGCTCCCAGTCACCCTAGAGGAGGAGCAGGGACTACCACAACAGCAGCAGGTCACAGGCTGCAGGGCTGGCACCCACAGCTTAGCACAGCCAGGGACAACCAGGAGGATGGAACAGAAATTCGGCTGCTGACTGGACAGAGGGGCCCCAGCAAGGCTCCCGGCAGGTCATGCACACAGGTGTGCCTTCCTCGGCCTGGCACAACTGCTGGGCTGCACCATTCCAACTGCACGGAGCTGGCCTGAAGCACTGGCTGGGAGAAGAGGTGGCTGAGCTTCTTGGTGCCCGCAGGGCCCTATCAGTAACAAACCAGCTGGAACTCAAGAACCTCACTCTGTAACTTGGTTAAAACAACTTGGGGAAATGGCCAGTGTTGCAGAAGGACTAGTCTGATTTGGTGGTGGGCTTAATCCTACTAAAAGAGTTGTGCAGGACATAATGAAAAGTCACCTGGAATACCTCAATGTCGGTAGAAATGCTGATACACCCTGCCCATAACATAGTCCAACCTTTCTCCTATGCCTCAGACACAAATACATACACAAAGTAACTACAGAAAAGCCATGTTAAACACACAGAAAATATAGTTTCCTTCCAAGTGTCCAAAACCATACTCAATAATAAGATTACTATAGCACAAACCAGCGTAAGTAAATGGGTTCAGATGTGCCTGGAAAAAAGTGTGTCAGCCTGGCTATGAAGATTTTCTGCACCAAGCAGGTAGAATATTTTGAAGAGCATCCTAATAACCAGCTCAGCTTCCCATTGGTAAGGATAATAGGGAAGAATACTTTGGACTCCACAGTTGTTCACTGCACACGCAACTCATTCCCTATTCAAAGCAGGATGGCTGCAGCCCTGATGTAGCTGTGGGGAGAGGAAAAAGATCTGCTTCTATATCATATTACATCCCAGTGTCACGGGTCTGAGAAGTACGAACTCTTCACTTCACCCAGTACCACATGTGCCCTTTACATGTCTCCACAGCTGGTGCAGACAGGCAGGAATACCAATGGGATACATTTACCTTGCTGGCACTGCATGAGCTCTCAGCACTGCAGTATAGAAATGTGAGCTGGACACAGCAGGGGAACTAAAACAAAAAACCTGGGTCTGCAAAGACTGCAGGCTACCTGGAAAAGGAACTATTAAGCAAATTATAATTCCCATGCTCTGTTCTAAATGGATACATACAGGGCAGGAACTAAAATCATTCAGAACCATTTACCTAAATCTAAATGCCTCCCAGGCTGGGATTTATTTCACATATAATATACCTTTATTGTCTCTCAAGAAAACAGTGAAGGATCTTCACAGGTACCTGTTTTTTCCTAGCTGTATTAGTAACCTATGTGACTGCTTATTGCTTGGCCAAGTTTAGGGCACGTGGGTCCTATCCTTACTGACTTCCCTTTACAACATCTACAGTTTGAACTGTGGTACTTTCAACTAGAAATTTTGCATTTAAAACAACAAAAAAGCAGCAGTGAAGAAATATTATGCATTCTCACCCTGGGAATAGAACTATTTGTATAATCATTGAGGCACTCGAATTTGTATACTGTTTCCTACACACAAGGATTTTGTTTCCATCTACATGTACCCCACAATCTGATGTGTAAAGAAAGCAAGACGTTCTCAATATTCTTTTTTTTTTAATGTATGTTTAAAGCTTATCTTTCATAAGTCTCTCCCTACTACAACAGACATTCCACACAACTGCAATACAAAATATCCCCAGATAGGTGTTTACATGAAGAAATAAAAGAGAAGGTTTAGAGACTATGACATATAGAATTAAAAAAGATGTCATGGGCATAAATGTGATCTGGATTAATAACCCTACTTTAATATCAAATTTTATGTTTCTATCATCCTCCTATGAAACTGCTGGAATGATTTATAAAAATCATAAATAATTTTTAAAGTGAAACAAGAGCACCATAACTTGTTCTCTGACCTGCTTATGACCTACTCATTTATTTTCTTTTTTTTTTTTTAATAACACCATTAGAATTTACTGTGAAAAAACACAAAACATTGAGAAAGTTTTATATATAAGAAACAAATCTCTATAATGTAAAATAACTGACATCATTACCTTTAGGTGCTTCTACTCAGTGCAATATTTCAAAGACAATAATTAAGATCCATGAGAAAACCTGCATATATCTTATAGCTGTCAATCCAAATGGTGAAAAACAGAGATAGAAATATAAATTATCCCAAAGACCTTTCTCCTAAAAAGTCATAGCCATTACAGCACTGTCGCTTCAGACTACAAAGAACCCTTCAGCTGAAGAAATTAAGAACAGGAGCAGTGAGAAGCACAGGCAGATTAATTCATTTCCTGGGCTTCTTGTTTCATCATGGAAGATTCACTGCCAGTTTCTGTTACCCTTCTTCCCTCAGTTTCTTCAACTGCACCTCCTTCTGCAAGAAAAGAGGTGTACAAAGAAAAAAATCTCATGTGCTGATTCACCTGCATTTATTTCTGCCAAGGATAAATGCAAAAAGCTTTGAGAATATTGAAAATGAGGATTGAATCACAAAGGAAGATGATAGGGTAGTTTCATTCTGGTAGAAAATGATGTGAAAAAACAAAATACATACAGAGAGATGAATAATTTGGGGCAAGGTCCTCAGAAACGCATGTTGCTTATAAAGCTGACTGTAACTAGGAGATTTTCTAAGCTAAGCATACAAAGCATGTATCAGCAATGTGGGCTGAAAAGACACTCACATTTTTCTCCACATTGCAGCATTCCCTGTGCTCCTCTGTCATCTAAGAATTAAGTCCAGGCTGGTACCAAGATCATTATTTCTCATCTACCAAGTAACACTCTCTAAATAAGTACAGGGGCAGCACTCCTGTGCAGTGACAGCTTCTCACATCTCCACTGTGGATGACTCCTCCTATACACTTGATCCCCAGAGAGCGTGCCTTTGTATAGAAGTTAGATGTTTCAGTAGTACTTCAAAAGAGTAGTCTGACATTAGCAGAAGTGTCACATTGTGGCAGAGCTATTTTTGCACTACCTACACTGTCTCCTGGCATCAGCAGGAGATCTGACAAAGAGCTGCTGAACATGACTTTATTAGGGTAAAATAAAAAAAATAAAATAAAGTATATTAGGGTAAAGTGATACAAGAAAGATTGGGTGCACTCTACAAAAACAATCCCTACTAGGAGCTTTTTCAGAACTAAAATTCTAAAAGAAATTATTGAAAATTTCATGCAAATATGTAGGACAAAAAATGTATGTAAGAGTAACACAGATAGGCACAGTTTAAATAAGAATTACTAAGGTGCGAGAAAAGTTGCTAAAGTAATGAAAAACTTACCAGCAAAACAAAGTGTAAAAATGTGTGGAAGTAAAACATGAATAGTGGTAAATATTGCTTAAAAACCTACTAATAGCTCAGGTAAGGATGCTGAAATTATGCCAACAGCGTTAGCAAAAAAGTCCATTGTGACCATGTATCTAGTAATTAATTTCCATACTGAGATAATGGTGTGGGACAGAAAAGGAAATCAATAGTTTAACTATTTGGAGAAGCAACTGAACTTTGAGTCAGCAAGTACTCATGAAAATAACCCATAACCAGATAAGGAGCTCTCTGAAATAATTTCTGAATGAGTAGTGATTTTCTTTGGTCCTGGAGAATGGGGAGACACTTTACAGAAGTGGAGAAATGCAGAAGCGGGAAGAAGCTCCGAAGGAATTACAGATTAAGTCCCCAATGTCAGTGTCAGAGGTATGATAAGAAAAGAATAATTTTTTGAAATTGTAAGACTAAGGTAATCAAAAGGATTCCAAATGGACTTCCAAGAAGCCTGATTCAAAGGTCCTGTCCTAAGCACTGTGGAGGGTGGTCTGTGTTTTCTGGCTGCTCAGAGGCAGAGAGTCGTCCAGCCTTCTGCTGTACTCCAGCCTCTCAATCCCTATCTTAAAAATAGTTGGCAACAAAAGGAATTCTCACTGATTACTGCATCTCCCCTTCTGCAGATTAATATTAAATAAATTCTCTGGCCTGACCTTTCCAGTTGTACCACAGGCTGCATGCCTGACAAAACCTGTAAAGCTACTTCCAAGCAAAAAAGTTTACATGCTTCTCACATGAGCTGCATAGAGTTTACTTTGTAACTCAACAAGAACACAAAACATGGATATTCATCATGACTGTTGTTTCTCAGGCTCTTCCTGGGAACAGCCAGTTATATGAACACCAGATGGACTACTTTGTTGTCAGAATTCACTAGTAATAGATAGTGGAGAAGACTAAGAAAGTACTCAGTTTATAATAAAATATTGCTGCTGACGGGTTGCAGCACAGTGAAGATACTGTGTCAGGACACATAATTACTGCATATAGTCCTTTGAAAAAAACTGACTAGCACCCTATGACTAACAAAAGATGCCCGCATTTATTTTTATTCTTATTCACTCATATCATTGGAGTGGCTTTTATTCAGTGAATTTCTCTAGAAAGAAAGAAAAAAAAAAAAAGGTTTAGTAACTATGAATTGGAATTGCTCTAGAAATATTACCATACACTTTCTTAGAATTATTACATAATAATACCCTGTACATTACGTGAGTCACTAAATAGTGTTTAAAAAGAATACGTCATAAGCAAAAATGTCTGATTTTGACAGAGAGATTGTTTAAGCAATTGAATATTTTAAAATAATTAATGGAATAAATGAACTATTATGATCAAATGTGATTCATGTAGATTTTGAAGTCTAGGAAAACAAATTAAATTTTAAGTCTGTTTTAACCAACAGACTTAAAGATTTATGTTGAAATCTAATACAAATTCTATACAATATAATCTGGAGACCTAAGCAACAGTTCATTTAGAGTACAAAGCACAAATAAAAGTCAGGCTACTAAATCATAATTTATGAAAGAAGTAAACAGACTCTGCACATGGAGAGAAAGAAAAGATTAAAACCTGCATAGGCAATTCTTTCAGGGACAGCTGCGCTATTGTATTTTCATCACTGAATTTTATCATTTCTTAAAGACAAATATACTTTCAAAATTGTACATTATTGAGTTCCCTATTTAACTTCATAGCTAATTCCATAATTATCAATGTTTGTAGCTGCTCTTTGATGGAATAATAAATGTGCTGTCCAAATAGTAATTTTCTGTTTCTCTGGGGATTAGTTAATACTTCTGCTTGCAAAGGCAATTGTTACTTATTAATTTACAGGAGTAACTTAAAATAGCATAAGCATCTTTATACTTCTAGGAAGTGAGATGGAATAACGTGGCCTTAAATAAATCAACTCTTAGACAACTTAGAGATGTAAAATTACTGTCTCCAGTAAGTCTCAGTAAATCATACTTCACTAGCTACAGAATTTTCATATGCTTGTTTCAAAATCAACAAATGCTAATTTCAAGCACAGTTTAACTACAAAAAAGTGAAAATGAAAGCTTTGGTCACATCTAAAGCTCTGTGAAATGACCAGTATTGATGCATATTTTGTCCTAAAAATCTTTAAAATGATAAACATAACCTGATTTTCTAATGGTTTCTGTTCTATGCTAACACTGCAAGACTTGAAAACGTCTTGATACTTTTGATCAGGCAACCTCTCCCTGTTTTGTCCTTTCTCCTTTTCCTCCCCATACACAAGCATTTTATATATTGTACTTAAAGGTGAATTTGTTTTTATCCTTTGAAAAGTAGAAATAACTTTACAATAGCATAAACAAGAAAATACGCAGAAAGTAACATACATTTTGAAGTGTCAAATCACTGATGTTAGTTGACATTGCTCTCAGCCAGTCAGCACTCTCCTGGGCTGTATAAAACTGAAGTATCCCAGTACTAACTCCATCGAGTGCCAGCACTTCAAATGCATTAGATCTGCAGTAAGAAGAAATATATCCGTAAAGGAAGATATGTCAGTTTTCTGAAACTGCCCAATATTTATCAGTGTTCAAGTGATTTTTATGCCTTTTACAAGTTTTTGAGTGTTTAATTTACCAATCAATAGAAAGGCAATAAAACCAAGTATAATAGGGCAGTACCAAGAGCAAAAGATGCAATAAGTACTTTCTCTGTACCAATATATACATGTGCTGATGATCATTTACTTCCTCTGGGTATACATATTTTGTTCATAATTATTGAACATAAGGTAGTATATTCAGGAAATATGCATTGGGTCTTTCTGAAAAAAAAAAAAAAAAACAACAACAAACAAACAAAAAAAACACACAAAAAAAAAAAAACAAAAACAAAAAAAAACCAAACAAACAAACAAAAAAAAAAAAAAACCCATAGTGTTTTTTTAAACCAAAATGCCAATTTTATTTATTGCATTTTGGCTTCATTTACTAGGAATGTATGAAGATTCAAAGCACTGTTTTCCCTAGCTTTCATTTGCTGGATTCCTAAACTTTTTTTATGTAGCATTCAAAGCAATGCTTACTTCAAGCACTTTTATGTAATAGGAATTTGAAAAACATTCTTAGAAGTTTCTTCAGAAATTTTCCTTAAATAGTCTTCTCAAAACAGCATTGGCACAGGCCAATGTGCAACTGCATTTTATTAACTTTTAATGCAACTTTTATGTGTTTATAGCGACTTTATTCTGCAAATGCCAATGCTTTCCTTTCCTCACTATCTGCAGTAAGTTAGGCACTGCCTATGTACCTCTGAATTCCCCTGCATCTGAATGCTGGTGGGATATGCTTTTTTAACTCTTAAAATTTTCCTATAGAAACAACAAAAGCTCATTAAGTAGAGGCATGGAAGTACACTGGTCTAAGTTTTAAAAAAGTGACACACAATAGTTGCAGTAACTAAACTTCACAAAGATAACCAGATTATTTAAATGCCTTTGATTGCCAGGAGAATTAGACTTTAGTTATATACTATTGTGAAAGACAATTATAATTTTCTCAATGATTGTGTGCATGTTCATTTTGTCTATAATATAGAGAATATCACCACTACCTTCTACATTTGTAAATTAGATATTGATACTTATATGCTATATTGTCCTATTTCTGGTACCAACCTAGAAGAAAGCCACCTACTGAATCAGAATACTCCTCTGTGAAGTTGCTCAGTCTTCCTGGAGTTCTCTGATCTAAGATGAAGTCCTCTACTGCTTAATCGATGATATATGTCAATATTCAAAATGACACATACAGGTTAATGGGCAGTTATTCATTCCTGATTTAGTGAAAAAGTTACTAACCTAACCTTTGTAATTTGTAGGGAGTTTGATGGTGAACATGAACACTGAACTCTAGGTACTTTCTAGAAAAGGTAATATAAACTACCCATCATACACAATATAAATAAGACAATGTATCTGAATAGACATATGTGAGTGTCCTAGGTTACAATATAAAGTTGTAATCTCTTCCCATCCTCACGAGCGGCTGAAACCAGGAGAGGCATTGTTTTTAATTTATCTCCTGTTAATGGGCCCATCACTGTCCTGCCACATGACCCAGAGATAACTCCCTCAGGGAGCCATTTCTGTTTCATGGTCAATCATGACTCACAGAATAATATCAGCTCACTGTGAGATGCTCCACCCTGGGGGAGGAGCTAAGAATCCCCACATGATTATAACCTGGGTTTGAGGGCAGAATAAACTGCCCTTACCCACTGGTTTCCAGAGGACAAGAGCTACCAGATTTTTCTACAGGATCACCACTCCGGCAAGACCATTTCATCTGGATGGCTACCACCACCCTAACTAACAGTGGTTTCTCTTTTGTATTATTGCATGTATTTTGGGTTTTTTTTCTCCCTTTTCCTAATAAATTGTATTTCTGACTTAGAGTCTCTCACTAGTTTTGCTTTCAAACCGGAACAGTGAGATGCTTTGCTTTTAAAGGAGTTGTAAAGCATTATATCTGCTGTTTGCAAAATTTAACATGCTTGGCCTGAAGACTTAGATAGGTACCATTTTTCTTTCATAATTGAATTGTCATGGGAACTACTAAAACTTGATGTCAATAGCATAATTATGTGCCACTTTCATTTCAGTAATCTCTTTCACCTCTTCAGAAAGAAAGACACGATTTAAAAAAAAAAAAAATCCTTTTATTGCCTTCAAGTAAACTGAGTAAAATAATCCCCTCCCAAACATATTGTTCTTTTTACCTAAGGTTCTGACAAAGATCCCAGCAGTGCTGTAATGAAGTGACTTATGGTATGATCTCCTCAACATCCCACTGAGACAGTGAGAATCTGTCAGCCCTTATGCATTGATACACCCTGGTGCCTGGAAACAGACTTAATTTAATGCAGTGAGGAGAAGCCCTTTACAATGCCCAGCTTAGATAACCCATTCAAATATCAAAGCTAAGATGCTAGGATTCTTACACAGCAAGAGGGCTGTTCAGAGCATTTAAGAGAGCCAAGAAATAGCATGTGCTCTCCCTGGAACCACAGGGTGTCTAGATACTAACTCAGCTTCTGCAGACACACAAAGACCTGAATGCCTTATCCCAGTGGCATGAAGTCACGTAAGTGGCTGATGAAAGATCACAGAAGGAAACTTCTTGGTTAACAATTCATGCAACCAAAACAGGCAATCAAAAAAACAAATTTGATTATAAAAATTACCAAATATTTAATAATTTTAAACATGGTGCTGGGGATAGAGTGGATTACAGTAAAAGTTCTGTTGTTCTTTATCTTTTTTAAAATGTGGTAATCAACTACAGACAGTTAATAATATTCAATGTTCATCTAGAGATCCAACACTTCTCTAACATGATATTTGCACAGAATCAAATAGGGTGTGAGAGATCCTGTAAGTCCCCTAGTCCAGCCTCCTCACTAACTTTCTTCAAAAATACAGATCTTTTCCACAGGAGGACCAAAACTGGACATAGAGGAAGCTGCTTCAGGTGAGATGAGAACAACCATTTCCCTTGAGTTGTTGACTGTGTTATTGCTAACACAGCCCCTTATATGGGACTTTACCACTGAACCTGTGCTCAGCTGACTCCTGTTCAGTGGAGAGTCTGCCAACATCCCCAAGCCCTGCCTGCAGAGCTTGTTCCCTTGCTCCAGCACACTGACACCAGGACATTCTTTTCCCAGGGCTCAGGCTGGTTCAAGGCTTCTGATGTGCCAGTGGTGGTCACATTACCTGGCACGCGGGACTGAGACTTTTGGGGCACTGCTGTCCCCACTGTGCTGGCTTGGCAGGAAGGTGGTTTTACCAGAAAGCAGTTCAGTGTAAATTACATAAAATAAAAAACAGCCAGTGATTTTCAAAGTTTACATATGCCAGTCATGAAGTCTGTGGTAGTAAGACAGTGGTTTTGCCCTGAAAAGCATAGTGTACAGAAGGCTACAAGTAAAAACAGATATCCAAACTAAAAATAAAAGCTTAACAAAATAAATCCTGAGGCTTTTGTTTTAAGTGAAACAATCAAAGCAAGCACCAAGATGGCACTGAAATTCATGAGAAAATAAATCCTATAGGCTTAAATGACATGCATTTCTCTCTGTCATTTCCTCAAAACAAAGAAAAGGAGACACAACAAAGCATATACTCCTGTTAGCTGTCAAGGAGGAGCTTTCCATTTAATACCAAATAATATGTTTGAAAGGTTTCAAGATGCTATAAAGTTGCTGTGGGGTTTTTATTTTCTTTGTTGGTTTGTATTTCTTTTTTTCCTGAGGCCCTAAGAAGATTTTAAATCACAGACACAGGAAATTTCTGCATCTTCTGTTACTGAAGTTATGCTACTGACTACTCCAACTAGAGCAAGCAAAGAATATTTGCATTTCCTAAATACTAGAAATTTGTGTTGCACTGCCATCACATTTCTTACTTTGATATTTGTCTCCCTATCTGTAAATTTGTTTCCTTCAAGCATTCTGCTAAGGAGCATGAGGCATTTTCCATACTCAGTGTCTTTCTATTTCACTCTCATGGTGACATGATGAATAGATCTGCATGCCTGGTCTCTTCTGGAGTTTGTTTATGGCATTAATTTCTCGTAATAAAATAAATCCTATCTTTGTGAGCATGGCAGTCAGAATAACAGATGAGCATTGGTAGATTTTAGGTTCTCTTCTTGAAATTGACACATTTAAACAAGTACTATTAATTAATATTAGTAAGCAAATTTTTCCATACAAGCAGTTTGCTACTATAGAGGTGTTAAATTAAAAGACTTTTCTAAGATAAAAAGTATTTTTCCCAGCTGAAATGGGAAGAGATGAACTTTTACATTATTGGAGGCTAAGAATTCCAGCAAAGCATATATTTATATTTTTTAGTATGTGTGGCATGTGAAACCATCTCTCTTAGACTTACATAGGCATTTTATTATATAGATATTTCTACAAAAATCTAGATGTAGGCTTGACTGCAACTCATTTGTCTTTACTACCATGCTGATACAGACAGATGTATTTAATCAGCTTTGCATCTTCCCAGGTCTTGAATCAGTACTCCCTCCTGTTTGTATGATTTTTTGATATTTCTGTTAGTTAATATTGCTTTTGTTACAACATTTTCTTGTGGCTTGTTTGTAATACTACACAGCCCTCTTGCTAGAATGTCTACTTAGACTGAAGTTTTGAGGACCATGGGTAGATCTGAGTGGAAATTCTCCAAAAGGAAGGATCTGAATTACTTAATCTCTTTGAAATGTCATGTTGGAAGTAATGGGATTTTGTATTGTAAATGTCACAGAACCTCATACCTTACAAAATGTTTAAATGTGCCCATATAACTGGACTATTGACAAAATCTACGTAACTCAGAAGATATCAAAACATTAAACATAAACTTGGATTGCATTTTATATTTGTGGTTTTTGGGGGGAACATTTTAATTCCAGTATTGTAACTTTTCATTACACTTATAGCAACCAAATAAGATAATTGAAGTAACAGACATTTATGCTTCTACAAATATTTTCTAACTGATGTGTCTGAAAACTGTGATAAAGTTTATTTAGTTTTGTAACTCAGTGAGATTATGCTTAATTTCTAGATGTTTTTCAAAATGGTTTATTAAACTTCTTCATTTTCAATTTATTTATCTAATTAAAGGCATATTGTTAACTTACTGAAATGATAAATGGAAAATACCATTCTTCAGAAAAAATCTGTCAAGAAACTAATGAACCTAATGCATTAAAAAAAAATTTAAAATACATAATCCTTTGGAGTAATTGCAATGGTCAGAATACCAAGAAATAGAAAATAACACCTAAATCTAATTAGGTTATTTTGTAATTGACATCACAGATACCTGGGCTCATAGCTACTGGGCGTGAATTACTTTCATTCCACTCACTATTTCAGTCTCCCACACTGGAAATAAACATTTTTTCTTCAGTCTCTAAACTCATAATATTCAAGATGTTATAAGTATTGTACCTTTACTCAAAGCTTCTGTCAATGCACTGTATAAAAATTATTATGCATTACTACCAGTATCAGCTGTAAAGACTAAAAATAGTTATCTGCATTTCCCCAAATAACAATTCCATAACAAAAATGAAAAACTACAGTGCATGAACTGTGTTCCCCACCTTCTAAAAGACTACCTATCTTTACTTTTCTACCTTAAAAAAAACCCACCCCAAGCTATAATATGAACCACAAATTCCTTTGAGTGAGAAAAACTTACTGATATTATTTCTCTGTTAAACTTGCATCACATTTATTGACCAATTCAATCCTCAACAGTCAAAAAATGTTTCCATTGCCAACTAGCAATTAAGAGTATTCACAGCAATAGCATTCTCACAACATTTATATTACCTTACTTCTTACAGAGAAAAATTACCTTGATGGATTAGTGAGAATTTTAGAATAACAGAAGCAGTATTTTATATAATAAAGGAAAAGGAATAAAAAAGTTATTGAATTGCTAACTAATCAAAAAGACTAATTAGCATGCATATATAAATATCTTCAGACAGACTCCAATCATATCAACAATGTGCAATACACGAATTCAAGGTGATTTCAGTAGTTAATATAAAGTTCAATCTTCCAGCTGGAACAGGAATGACATCTACTATGTTTCTCATCTTTCCTTAAAAATAGTCTGAGGAAATTTTTTTTTGGGATCATGGGATGGCAGTAGGTTTTATGGCATTATTTCACGTTCCTTCAGAGTGTACACAACAATAACAAAAAACCCCACTAATAATTAAAGAATGGAATAAATACTAAATATATTTGGGAGTGAGATACATCATAAGAGAATATGTCTCTCCAAGGCTAAAACTGAAAGCACTAAGTTCCTCAAATCTTACACAAAAAAACATATCTGTGATGGGTTGATCTCGGGCCAGGAGCCAAACATCCACACTGCCATTCCTCCCCCAGCCCTCTCCAGAGGCATAGCAGAGAGGATACGAAGAAGAAAAAACCTCATAAACTGAAATAAAGGCAGTTTAATAAACGAACAGAAGAGGGAAAAAACCCAACTAACTAAATTACAACAAAACAAGTGATGCAAACACAACCACTCACTATCTCTCACAAGCAGAATGATGTCTTGTCAGTCTCCAAGAAATGGCTTGCCTTCCTCAAGCTCTCTCTGCTCAGTTTCTATTGCTGAGCAAAGAGGCTACGCAGCATGGCATATTCCTTTGGTCATTTTGGTTCACTGGTCCTACTTGTGCCTCCTCTTAAATTCTTGCCTACCCTGGGTCTGTTTACTGTGTAGGAGCAGACCAAGAAAAGGAGAAAGCCTTGATGGTGTGCAAGCCCTGGTAGCAACAACCACTATAATGTTGCTGTTAATGTTGCTGTAGTCACAAATCAAAACACAGCGCCATATGGACTACTATAAAGAAGATAAGCTCCATCTCAACCAGACGCAGTACAAAGCTGAAGGCATTTTACTTCAAAGAATTCTCAAAATGTGCATGCCACTCTTTTGGGAACTGGAATCCCTTGGGATTTCTCCATCTAATGTGTAAAGTGCACAGCACAGGAATGAAAGTGCTTCAAACTATCAGGGAACTAACTGAAGTCAGAGGTTTAAATGTTCCATCCTCTTCCATTTATATTTTAGATTCTAGAACACTGATGATAACTTGATGCCTAAATGTGAACACTGAGATTTTTTTACTTAATTTACTGAATGTCTAAGCCTTGAATGTTTGGAGGTCTGTGATAGATTGGACAAGACTGGACAGCATGAACTTGTCAGTTGAAGTAGGGAGGAAGAAAGTGGTGAAGGAAGTAGTGAGACACTAAGTAGAAGAGAATTAAGAGTTCAAAGAAAGTCTGTGGAAGAAGTTAAAATTTTTCTGGACAATTTATTATTATTCACCTGTGATGCTTTAACACAAAGTCTGGGAGAGGAGCTGCCAACTGCCTTAGAAGATGAATTGCTGTAAGTTAAAGCAGCATATCTGTCCTACTAGAAAGATAATGCTTTTCAGGTCATTTTGAGGAAACAGGTAAAAAAGCTGGCATAGGTCAAGAAAGGTATCCACATGAATTTCTGGTACCTCCTCATAGCAGGTGACCTGTATATTGATTCTTCAATTCTTTTTCCATTTATCTCCTTAATATGTATTAAAGGCAAATAAAAGTAGGGCAACCCATAAAGAGCATGGAAAATAGTGACAGTGAATGAGCTCCTGTTCTGATACATACGGAGAACTATGGACTGCTTGGCCTACAACTACTGGTAGATTTGAGAGTTATACCACATAATGGTTTACAGAAAAAGCTTATATATGCTGCAATGTGTTAAACTTTCTCAAGCATGTTATTTATTGAAGCTTTATTAAACTTCTCTTTTGCTTTCATATTTCCTGAAGCCCAGTAAAATAGCCTCTGACATCCTATTCCACAGTTACTTTATGAACCATTAGTTATGTCTCTGAGATGCAAAAGAAATCTATGATCAAAAATACAGTATTTTGTACCATGTACTTCGCCAAAATCTCATCAATATGAGTTTCTGTATGACACTGGTAAAAACATATGTATATGACATGATAGCACAGGCATGATGATTATGCATTGTGTTATCATTTATAATGAAAAAGGAGAGTTAATTGACAATATTAGAATTGGGGAATATAGAAGTATCCTATTAGGTATACGGAAGAAATTGTAGTAGCTTCAAAATTCATTCACCTAACATCGGGATTCAACTTTGTACTAGCTGCTGATGCTAACTGAATTCCCAAGATACAACAGATTATAGAAACGTATTTGTAGGAGCTTTACCTTATCTTTGGTAATCACCATGAATATCATTAATCTTAGGAGAAGATGAACTGCATATCTTTTAATAAGAAGAATTTAATATCTCCACTCAATTCTTATAAAGTCAACAATCCACAGCAAAACACCATAGTGTTTTGTTACAGCTAACTAACCCAGTGCCTCCCCTTTTAGATTACAAACCTTAATTTATCTGTTCCGGTTTTGTACCTCGAGATTCGGGCCATCGACAGAGGAACTGATAGGGTGTCTAGCCAGCGCTTCTCATATTTTGGTTCATTAGCTATGGGTGAAGAAGGTGATGATGGAGCCTGTGCAGAATAAATGAGAAACAGTAGGAAAGCTTATAAGACAATATAGTGAAAAACCCATGAATATGCATCTCTGGGTCTGTTTGTCTCAGAAGTGAATAATCATCACAATAAAAGTATTCAAGGAACTCGGGATGGTGTAGAGAAATGAAAACCCATATGTTACCCATCTTGATATTTTGCTCTTGATGCAATTTCAGTACTACTTTAACATCAAATGTTTGTTAATATTAATAACTGATACTAGAAAAGAAAGTTTTCAGTCACAAATGCCATGATTTCTTCCCAAATGCAGCATAGTATAAATTTGTAATTTAAATTAATTTGTTCTGTATAACTCTTCTGCATCCTTCTATCATCAAAGGACATAAATAATATCCTAATTAAATACTACACTAGAACATTTATTTGTGCATTGTGCTGTTATGTCATTTAAGAGTATATTTAAAATTCTAATTCCTGTGTTACCATACTATAGATGGATGACTTGAAATTTTATCTTTGAAGCCTTTCTTCAAATACCTCTACTAGAAAGGCAAGAGTTGAGCATTTCACTCTTTTATAAAGATACAAGTAAAATTTACACAAAGTTACCTGAGAAAGATTTACAGACATACACATTTAGGTCAAAGTTAGGTGTTTGTGCTGTTTCTGAACCAAAATTTTTTATCCTGCACTGTGTGGAGAACTTTCCAGTAGAAAACAGAGTTGAAAGTTAGTTATTTTTATATGAGCTGTAAGTAAGCATTGAGTATTTATGAAAGCTCAGAAACCACAGAATGACCCAAATTCAGTTCTGTTCTGCCAGCTGTTCAAAAGCCATAAAACTTATACATACTAAAAAGCATTTTGGGAATTGTCTATTTCTTTATCTTGCTCATAAGGATTTAGGATTTTTTTTTCCCTAAAACCCCTTCGTAGAGTCAACAAGGGCTGATCTATTTACTTCTTTAAATAAATCAAAATAGTGAGTTTCACATCCTAACAGGATGACTGAGACTTAATGACTGAAGTACAATTTCCTAGTAAAAGAAACATTTGTAATGAAATTACTGGAGTTGGTAACGCTAAGGAATGTTTTAGACAGCCATCATTTTGGGGACAGGAATTTCATTTAGAGCATTTGCTATCCCCTAGAACCATACAGCTCTCATTTGACTGAGATCTGGTGTTTTTGCATATGAGTATTTCATAATCGAGTCCACAGACTAATTTTATTTTATGAAATTAGGCACAAAACTCTAAGGTGCCTTTGAAATCTAAAATAAATGTATTAGTATCACAATGAAGAATTTGACACATATTACAGAATTCTGCATGAACTAAAATAATTGACAGAAGTCCATGCAATCTGAAGTTGAAAAGGATCAACATAATCTAACATTGTCTGTCTGGAAATCAAAATGTCTGGGAATAAAACAGAAGCAGTCAAATATAAATACTTGATTGTGATCACTGAATCCAAGAATGAGAAAATAAAAGAACATAAAAATTCCTGCAACAGCATCATCTATTGTTCCCACCTCCTAAATTCTCAAGATGCAGAAAACATCTAGACAATTTATACATAAGTCTTTTTCTTATGAACTATTAGTTGTACTTCTTTTGTCAGATTATTGAACAACCTGATAAATATTCTGTAATAGTCTAGGTAATTTAAGAGCATTTGGCAGAAAAAAAAAACCAACAACAACAAAAAAAAAAAAAAAAAAAAAAAAAAAAAAAAAACCAAAAAAAACCAAAAAAAAAAAAACCTAGGTCACATAGGCAATTTAATGTTTCCATTTGAGTCCCTTACACTTCAATCAAATGTTTCAGTAGGGTATCAGCATAAAGAAAAAGTATCTCAATGGAAGTGAAAGTTAGAATTTTAGAAAATGTACATTGCAGCTATTCATTAGGTTAATGAATTGAAGAGGAAACTTGGCCATCATCACTTGATCAAAAATCTATTAACCCCAAGCTATGAAACTGCAGCACAGAAATATTCATGTCAAAATACTAAACTGTTAAAACTGCTGTAAATTCCCAAAGCAAATGGGTCTTCCCCAGACAATTTCAAAGATTTGATATTTGAAAAACACACTAGAAAGAATAATTTCTTTTTTCCCCACAGTTCCAAACTACTTATAACTGCAGAAACTCTACTGCTTGATCTGAACATTAATGGCCAAGAACAGCAAAAGGGTACGAAGATGTCAAGCTAGTCTGTTTCAATTCGTATTTCTTATGAAGCCATACTCTACTAATGAGTTTATGGTAGACCATCAAGTTGGAATTACCCCTTTTCATCTTCTTAAGGACAAAACAGGGAATACATATGTCTGTAAGACCATTGCATAGAAACAAAATACCATCATAGGACCAGCAGCTATTTTGTTCTATTTAACCTATAATCTATTAACAATTCAATCTGAGATTCCTTGATATATCCTCTTCAAAACACATGGATAAAAATAAAATACTCAGGAGGAAGCAAGTGAAAAAACAAGAGAAAGGGCTGAGGAAGAAGCTCATTATACTGAATGAGAGAAAAAAGAGCTGCTAAAAATATAGTAGATAAATGTATAGCAATGCACATGAAGAAAAACAACATTAACTTTTCCCACACTCTAATGGGATATGAACAAATAATTACAACTCATAATCTAGATCTTTGAAAGACTTGTTTTTTAACAACTAGGTTAACAAAGATTCATTGGTCTGGAAAAGAAACTGTTGAAGGAATTGTATGACTGAGATATGTAAAAAATTAAATAACAGAGAAAGGTGTTAAAAACCAGTGGTTCACCTGGCATTTTCACATAAGAAGCAGGGGTATTGATTAGAAGTAAAAGACATAGGCTAAAACCAGGGAATTAATGTGCTAGGCTGTATAACCAACTGCTCCATGAAGCACCTATGTCAGAAGTCACCAGAGGTACAGGAAATATTCCCTAGAAATAACTTTACATATTTCCTCTGTTGCAATCCCTTGAGGGCATCTTCTGGGAACAAGCTTTTTGGCTGGATGGCTCTTTGGTCTAACCCAGTGTAGTGAGCTGGCTGACTTTCAAGGCATTTCTCCACTAAACAGCTGCTGTTGCTCATCTTGAAAACTCTTCACATCATTCCTCCAAAGCACTAAAATAGAGGTTATCTCTGTAATCACAGCTTTTATGCTCTCAGTCATTTTATACCTTCAGTTTTCTGTTGAGGTCACCAACAATGTTGCCAATTAATGCCAATTTGCTTATAACACCTGCCCATTAAGAAATGGATTGAACACAAAAACCTCGTTTTTGACAGAACAGTGAACAAGAATCAAGTTTTAATGACACATAATCACTACCTACCTGGGACAGCTGTGTACTGTTGACGTGGAGGAGGTCCTGACTGTATCCTATTAGCAATCACTGACCTATGAATGACACTTTAGGCAAGTGCTTCAGTGCTTTCTTAAACACCTATGTAACCACTCATTATGGTGCAACCAAAAAGTCTTTCAAGAGGTAGAATAAGTCCATAAAGTCCACCACTAATGGAGAGATGTAATCAGACCTGTCTCTATAATTGAATTTCCCCTAAGAGGAAGAAAGGGAAAAGATCCCAGATGGCTGGGACTGTCAATTTTTTCCTTTTTTTGTGACATATAATTTGCAGAGTTTGGGAAACTCAGTTATCTTACCTTACTTTCTTTTAAACTGTCATTGATTTTAAATCTCTGCAAGAGAAATATCGTCATCGGAAGAAAGTCTTTCTGAACCTTCTCTAGTAATTTAATTTCCAGCTGCTGCTAGGGCCCTACCTTGAAAGCAGCCACAGTGTTATTTTAAGTTGACACAGCTTTTTCATTAAACATGGGCTTCAGGAAGGCTGAAGATGGGTTAATTTACGTGGAATCACAAATACTCAGGGTCACATTACTCAGGATTAAGCTTGGTTTTAAATGTATTTTTAATCTCATATTACAGTGTCTGCTTTGAAGAAAGCCAATGATGTCCCATCTTTGGAAGTATCCAAGGTCAGGCTGAGTGGGGCTTCGACCAGCAATCATCCAGAGTGCTACCATGTGGCACATGCAGGACAACCAGCTGATCAGGTACAGCCAGCATGGGTTTAGGAAAGACAGGTCCTGCTTGACCAGCCTGATCTTCGATTACAAGACCTAGTGGATGAGGGAAAGGCTGAGCATGTTATCTATATTTACCTTCAGTAAAGCTTTTGTTACTGTCTCCCATAGCATTCTCTTGGAAAAGCTGGCAGCCCGTGGCTTGGAGAGGTGCACCTATCACTGGGTAAAGTCTGGCTGGATGGCTGGGCCCAGAGCATGCTGGTGAATGGAGTTAGACCAGCTGGGAGCCAGTCACAAGTTGTGATCCCCAGGGCTCAGTATTTGGGCTAGTCCTGTTTAACATCGTTATTGGTGATCTGGAGGAGGGGATCAAGTGTACCTCCAGTCAGTTGCAGAGGACACCAAGCAGGGTGGGAGTGTTGTCTGCTGGAGGGTAGAAGGATCTGCAGAGGGATCTGGACAGACTCTATCCGTCGTATGAGGTTCAACAAGGCCAAGCAGCAGATCCTCCACATGGGTCATGATGGTCCCCTGCCATGCTGCAGGCTGGGGGTAGAATCACTGGAAAGGTGCAAAAGGACCACGGTGTCCTGGTTGAGAGCTGAACATGAGCCTGGGTGTGCCCAAGGACAACGGCTGGAGAAAAGACAACTCTGGGGGGGTCCTTATCACTCTCTACAGCTACCTGAAAGGAGGTTGTAGCTAAGTAGGGGCTGGTCTCTTCTCTCAAAAAACAAGTGACAGAACAAGAGGAAATGGTCTCAGTTGCACCAGGAGGGGTTTAGGTTAGATATCAGGGAAAACTTCACAGAAAGGTTGTCAAGCATTGGAACAGGCTACCCAAGGAAATGATTGAGTCACTGTCCTTGGATATCTTTAAAAGATATGTGAACAGAGCACCTAGAGACATGGTTTGGTGCTGGACTTGGCCATTCTTGGTCAAGTT